TTCCTCAGTATTTTATTGTTTTTGATGCTATTATAGATAGAGTTGATGATTTTCAGATTTTCAGATTGTTCCTTGTTAGTGTATAGAGATGTGACTGATTTTTGTCTGTTGATTTTGTATCCTGCAAGTTGGCTGAAATTTGATTATTATAACAGTTTATTGTGGAATCTTCAGGGTTTGTTGCATAAAAGGTCTGTCATCTGTGAACTGAGATAATTTTACTTCTTCCTTTTCAATTCAATTGCCTAGAAGTTTTAAATTTTGCTGCTGAAATACAGTTTATCAGTTTTTTCTTTTTGTTGGTGATTTTTGTTTTCTCTAAAAATTTTTCACTTATACTAAAGTCAAGAAAATATTCTCCTGCTTTCATCTAGAAATTTTATAGTTTTAGCTTATATGTTTAGGTCCGTAATCCATCTGAAATTAATTTTTGTACATAGTATGATGTAGTGGTCAAAGTTCTTTTTTTCCTTATAAATATCCAGTTCTAGCACCATTTGTTGAAAATACTTTTGCTTTTCCCATTTAATTGCTTTGGCACCCTTCTTGAAAATTATTTGACTGTATATGTGTGATTTTATCCAGGGCACTCTGTTTTGTTTCCATTAATCTGTTTGTCCTTTGTTATGTTTTCTTGATGACTATACCTTGAAAAAACGTCATCTTGAGATCAGATAGTATATGTTCTCAATCTTTGTTCTTCTTTTTCAAGATTGTATTAGCTAGTCCAGGTGTTTTTTTTTGTTTTGTTTTTCATTTCCATATAAATTTTAGGATCAGCTTTTCAATTTCTACAGTAGGCCTGCTGGATTTTTGATGGAGATTACATTAAATTTATAGGTCAGTTTGGGGAAGAATTGACATCTTAACAATATTGAATCTCCCCATAAATGTACCAAAAAATAACCATTTATTTAGGTTCTTTAATGTTTCTCAGCAGTTTTATAGTTTTCAGTATAGAGGTGTTATACATCTTTTGTTAAATTTATTTCTAAGAATTTTATGGGTTTGGATGCTATTGTAAATTGTGTTTTAAAAATTTCCTTTTCTAATTGTTCATTACTAGTATATGGAAATACAATTGATTTTTGTATATTGACTACATATTTTGTGTGAATGCTTAATTTACTTATTAGTTCTAGTAGTTTGGTAGATTCATTAAGATTTTTTACATATATAACCATGTCTTCTGCAAATAAATAATTATATGCTTTCCTTTCCAATTTATATGCCTTTTAATGTCCATTGACAGAAGACTAGATAAATATATATATTCCTTTATATATATATATATTTAAAGGAATTTAAAAGGGATTAATAAAGGGAAATTTATAGCATTTAAATATATAGATAGTTAAACAAGACAAAAACTTCAAAAGATTACAGACTTATAGATTAACAACCCTCATGAACATAGACATAAAAATCCTTAATAAAATGTTAGTAAATCAAATTTAGCAATATATATAAGTGATACTCGTGACCAACTGGAGTGTATCTAAAAATGCAAGATCTGCATACCTTTTGAAAATCATTCATTGTACTTCACTGTATTAAAGGAATAAAGAAGGAATTAAAGGAATAAAGAAGAAAAATAATATAATAATTTTTCTAGATACAGAAAGACTATTTGACAAAATTAAATATCCATTCATGATTAAAAACTCTCAGCAAACTAGGAATAAAATAAAACTGTCAATCTGGTAAAGGACATCTACAAAAAACCTACCTATAGCTAACATCGTACTTAATGGTTAAATACTTTATACTTAAAATCAAGAATAAGGCAAAGATGTCTGTTTTCACCCTTCAATTCAATATTATACTGGAGGAACTAGTCAGTGCAATAAAGAAAAAACAGAACTACCATATGATCCAGCAATTCTACTTCTGAGTATTTATCCAAAAGAACTGAAATTAGGATCACAAAAAGATATGAGCCCCCCCCCCCACCAATGTTCACTGCAGCATTACTCACAATAACCAAGATTTGGAAACAACCTAAATGTCCATTGACAGATGAATGGATAAAGAAAATGTGGTATATACATAAATGGAATATTTCCCTTAAGCCTAAAGAATTTCTTTTAGAATTACTTTTTTAGTGCCCATCTGTTGGAGAGTAATTCCTTCAGCTTTTGTCTTTTTTTTTTTTTTTTTTTTTTTTGCGGTACGCGGGCCTCTCACTGTTGTGGCCTCTCCCGTTGCGGAGCACAGGCTCCGGACGCGCAGGCTCAGCGGCCATGGCTCACGGGCCCAGCCGCTCCGCGGCATGTGGGATCTTCCCGGACTGGGGCACAAACCCACGTCCCCTGCATCGGCAGGCGGACTCGCAACCACTGCGCCACCAGGGAAGCCCCAGCTTTTGTCTTTTGAAAATACATTTATTTCTCTTTCAAAGGATATTTTCATTGAATTTAGAATTTGAGGCATTTTTCTTTCAGCACTTTAAAGATATTGTTCCACTATTCTCTGCCTTTCTTGTTCTTGATGAGAAGTCAGCCATTATTCTTGTCATTGTTTCTCTGTATGTCATGTGTCCTTTTTTCTCTGACTGCTTTCTAGATTTTCCCTTTATATTTTGTCAGTTTATCGATGACAAAGCAAGAATATACAATGGAGAAAAGACAGTCTCTTCCATAAGTGGTGCTGGGAAAACTGGTCAGCTACATGTAAGAGAATGAAATTAGAACATTTTCTCACATCATGTACAAAAATAAACTCAAAATGGATTAAAGACCCATGTAAGACCAGAAACCATAAAACTAGAAGAAAACAAGGGCAGAACACTCTTTGACATAAAGTATAGAAATTTGGGGGACGATCAGGTCCTAAGGCAAAGGAAACAAAAATAAAGAAATTCCACCTAATTAAACTTAAAATCTTTTGCACAGCAAAGGAAACCAATAAAATGAAAAGACAACCTACCGAATGGGAGAAAATATTTGCAAACGATATGACTGATAAAAGGTTAATATCCAAAATATGGAAACAGTTCATATAATTAAAATATCAATAAAAACAAACCATCCAATTAAAAAAATGGGCAGAAGACCTGAATAGACATTTTCCCAAGGAAGACATACAGATGGCCAACAGGCATATGAAAAGGTGCTCAGTATCACTAATAATCAGAGAAATGCAAATCAAATGAGATCACCTTGCACTTGTCAGAATGCATCATCAAACAACAAATGTTGGTGAGGATGTGGAGAAAAGGAAACCCTACTACACTGTTGGTGAGAATGTAAATTGGTGCAGCTACTGTGGAAAACAGTTGTGGAGGTTCCTCAAAAAACTGATCCAGTATGTGATCCAGCAATTCCACTCCTGGGTATTTATATGGAGAAAACAAACACTAATTTGAAAAGATTGCACCCCACTGTTCATAGCAGTATTATTTATAACAGCCAAGGTATGGAAGCAACCTAAGTGTCCATCAACAGCTGAACGGATAAAGAAGATGTGATACACACACACACACACACACACACACACACAAATGGAATATTTATTACTCAGTCATAAAAAGAATGAAATTCTGCCATTTGCAACAATATGGATGGACCTAGAGTGATGGACCTTAGTGAAATCAGTCAGACAGAGAAAGACACATACTGTATGTTATCACTTATATGTGGAATCTAAAAAATAAATGAATGAATAATAAATCAGAAACAGACTCACAGATTTAGAGAACAAACTAGTGGTTGCCAGTGGGGAGAGGGAGGAGGGGAGGGGCAAGATAGAGGTAGGGGATTAACAGGTACAAACTACTATGTGTAAAATATATAAGCTACAAGGATATATAGCCAATATTTTATAACTTTAAATAGAGTATAATATATTAAAATTTTGAATCACTATGTTGTATACCTGCAACTAACATAATATTGTAAATCAACTATACGTCAGTAAATTAAATAAGTAAAAAAACATTTATTGCTAATATATTTTTCATTTCTAGAGTTTTTATTTGCTTTTTAAAAATAGTTTTTATTTATTTATTTATTTAAATTAATTAATTTACTTGGTTGTGCCGGGTCTTAGTTGCAGCTCATGGCCTCCTTAGTTGTGGCATGTGGGCTCCTTTGGTTGTGGCAGGTGGGCTCCTTAGTTGTGGCATGTAGGCTCCTGAGTTGTGGCATGCAAACTCTTAGTTGCGCATGCATGTGGGATCTAGTTCCTTGGCTAGGGATTGAACCTGGGTCCCCTGCATTGGGAGCATGGAATCTTAACCACTGCACCATTAGGGAAGTCCCCAAAATACAGTTTTTATATCTCTGCCAATATTCTCCATCTTTTATGCATGTTATACCTTTTCCACTAGATCGTTTAACGTGTTTTTCACAGTTATGTTAAAGGTCCTGTCTGATAATTCCAACATTTGGATCACCTCTGGGTCTTGTTCTATTGGACTGTTTTCCATCTTGTCAGTGGGTCACATTTTCTTGCTTTATCACGTCTCACTTTTAAAATTAAAAGCCAGATGTTGTGTCTAAAAGAATCATGGAGCCTAAAGTAGAAAGGGCAGCTGTTAGTGTAGGTAAGTTAGTTTAGTGTGTAGTTGAACTGGGTCTGTGCTCTATTGTTGCTTTATTTAGAATCAGTTCAGAGAATTCCCTGGTCATCCAGTGGTTAGGATTCCACGCTTCCACTGCAGGGGGCACAGTTTCGATCCCTGGTTGGGGAACTAAGATCCTGCAAAACTAAAAGAATCAATTCACTACTGCTTTCAAATTTTTAAGGATGCTATCAGAACCTTCCTTTTAGCTGGACTTGGGATCTGAGTGTCTGGAGGGTTTGACTCAGTGCTTCTGCTTTACCCTAAGCCTTCATCAGGTACCTTAAGGGTATGGTCGAGGGGTTTCTCTTTTGACTCTCTAGCCCCTCCCTCAAACATAGATGGCCACTGCTCTGGCTAAACTTGTGTGTCCTGATGTCTGTTGGCTGTCGTTTTTGGTAATCCTTCTGAGATAAAATCTTTTTTTTTCTTCTAGCCATTGTAGTCTGCAGATCAAAGCTCTGGCCAAAATCCATGCCTTTGTTCAAGACACGTGAGTGTTGCCCCTTTCCAGAATTCACCTATTTCAAGGGAAGATCTTTATGTTTTGTTCCTCTTCCTGAGCTCTTTATTTCATTTACACAAACATTTAAAAATACCTACTTTTTTTATCTCATACTTTGCTGTAGTCTGTGAAGGATGCCAAAGAAGCATATGGCATGAACCTTGCCCTCAAAGATTATGTTGTCTTTGGACAGACGAGAGTAACCCAGGAAAAGGATACAGGAAAGTTGTTAACATTGCATCACAGGATGTAGAGTGGCATAGCATGCGTAGAACATCTGATGTTCAGGGGACACAGAGTAAAGAGTGATCAAGAGAGGAGATGTAGGACTGGTCAAGGAAAACCTCTGGTAGGGGGTGAGCATAAGTTAATTCAGCTTTCTGGGACGTGGTGACATTCACTGGGATAGACTCAATGTGGCCTTTGTCAGAGGAGCCAGCATGTGCCGATGGGTAATTGGAAGAAGGGTGTGTGGGGACCCTGACATCCAGGGTGGTCAGAAGGGTGGTCTCCTCCCTTCCCTTTGTGGTGGGACAAGGAGGTCATCTCATTTTGTGTATATCTGAGCTCCCGTCTCCAAGAGGCAGAGGCATGGGAGTCTTATAAGCACCCTGGGTAATGGCAACTTGGCCTCGTATGTGCATGTACACACTGACGTCCTCTCTCTGGGGTTCTGATGGGTGCGCAGGAGGCACACTCCTTGTATGCCTTTGAGGTTTTAGTCATTTACTGGCTTCATCTTCCCAGGACACTGAGTGAGCCTCGGCAGGCAGAGATCCGGAAAGAGGGCCTCCGGCTTTGGGGGGTGAGTGTCTCCTCAGCCCGTTTTTGCTCCAGGGCAGGGAAACTTTAAAGAAGAATGGGACTGACTCCCAACCCGGTCATCTTAGGGTTCCCCCCCCCACCCCCACAGTGAAGAGGTCTGCCTACCCTCACAGCGCTCCAGAATTGGATGTCTCAGCATCGTTGGGAGTAACCTCCTTGGCCCTTTCACTGCTCGTTTAGCCCTGCAGGCTGGTTAGCAAGGACAAGGGTGGTGGGTAAACAGGCCTCATTTTCCTGCTGGTGGCCCTGCGTAGCAACACTGACCACAGAGAGCCCCAGAGAAAGGTTAGTGGCCTTTGGGGTGTGCTACCACAGGGCCTGAAAAGGAGCAGTGACTGAATTAGCCAACTCCACTCCCCACCCCACCCCAGCTTCCTTTGTTGTGTGCCATTTCCTCTTGCCCAGCCTGAGCCTATGCCCTTGCCTGTGTAAACTCACACACAGCCTTGGTCAAAGGTGCGTTTGAAAACCAAAGCTCTTTGCTGTCTTGTTTTAGATCCCAGACCAGGCTAGAGTTGCTCCTTCTTCCACAGACCCAAAATCTAAGTTCTTCGAGCTAATCCAGGTAAGCTTGGTATCTGGTGAAAATAAAAAGTTAGAGAGGCCTAATTAGATGTAGTATCACTGAGACCCCCAGATGCCTGGCCTCCAGAGGGCTTGTGCAGGTACCACATGGGTTCCCAGGGGCTGGGCTGAGGCCACCACAGATGGGAATTTTTGGTGTAGGGTGCTGAGTTCCCTGGGAGCCCATCAGGCTGCCTCAAGATTCTTGGCCTGAGATGTGTTCTGTTCATCCCTGCTGCCCAAAGGGTGGTGCTGGCTCTCACTCCCTGGCAGGTTTAGGGTCCTGTGAGTGTGCCTGCAGGGGATACATGAAGTATGGGATGATCTTAGGCTGGGGAGCTGGTCAGAGGGCCAGGAGGGGCTGCCAGGAGAGCTCACAGTGGAGCTGGCCTAAACTTAGGCCTCCTGTTCTGTTTCTGGTGAGTGGTCCTCAGAATTCTTCTGCCCTATGTTTTCCTACCACCTGACTTCCAGCTTTTCCCTGGGCTTTATTTAAACCTGGCCCAGATCAGGGGCCATTGTGCTGGTTAGGGACTGGAGAATGTGGTTCAAGATGGCCTCAAAAAAAAAATAAATAAATAGCACGTGTAAATTTTTCTGAATGGGTAGAGATTACTTAACTGCTTTCAAACCAACTGCTTGCAAATCTTTGCCTTCAGTTTTAGTGAAGGGGAGGCTTTTATATTCTGGTGACATTTCCTTATAACTCTGGTAAATCGATCTGTACTCTGGGGACTCAGTGTTCTTTCCTTTCCCAGGCTCTCCTAATAGGTCCTAAAGGAACACTCCAAGCAGACAGAATTAGATCCCAGTTAGTGCATGTGTAGGTAGAGCAGGGGGCATGTTTCAGACAGCAAGTGCTTCCTGTCCCTCCCCTCCCCGAGCCTGCCCTAACTCCCTGCCCCACCCCCCACCCCCCAGGCACCCGTACTGAGCGCCTGTCCCTTCCCCCAACCCAGCCGTGTTTTCTCTGACCCGGGGCTGCAGGGCACTGAGATCGACATCTTCAGCTATAAGCCCACGCTGCTTACTTCCAAAACCCTGGAGAAGATCCGCCCAGTGCTCGACTACCGCTGCATGGTGTCTGGCAGTGAGCAGAAGTTCCTCATCGGCCTGGGGGTAAGTCTGCAGCTGGCTTCCTACCCAGCTTGGGTGGTGGAAGCTTGCTGTCTGTCTGTGGGAATCTGGACAGCTGCCTGCCACACTTGGTGCACGTTCTCTTGGCACCAAGGAGCTGGAGCTTTGACCGCAGGGAAGGTATTTCTTGAAACTTTCTTCCTCTGAGTTAGCCAAATATCATTCATTCATTCTTTCTATCTTTCATTTATCCATGTATTTGCTTATTCACCTCCATGTATCGCTAAAGGAAACACTGCCTCCTTTCTTGTGATGTGGAGCTTCCTAGGCTAGCAGGACGGTCAGTAGGCTAAGCTGCCTTGAGCCCATGCAGCTATTTCTTTGCAACACCACCACCATCCCATGTCACCCCCCGTCTTTGGAGTCTAAAATGAGGTGAGGGAAAACCTTGGCAGTTCTATATCTTAATTGGGTAAAGTCCTCATTGCTCTTTCTTTCCACTCTGAGTTGTCTTTATAGTTTTATCTCTTCTTCCTCACTTACTTTCTCTGTGTCCTCTCACACTTTATCTTTTTTTACTTTCTCTCTGCTCTGCTCTGCTCTCCGGACACTTCACCAAACCCACTTCAGACATACACCAAGCTGGATCTTTCTTGAGGGCCTCTGATCATGAACTCAGGCCTCTTGAATGGTGCCCTGAGCCTGTTCCCTCCCAGTGGGACAGAGTCAGAGCTCTCCTCTTCCACTGAGGCAGTGGAGGACAACACTGTCATTATAGTGTACGAAGTATAACTGACTAATCTCTCCGAGACCTTTTCTTTTGGCATTTCCCAGCCCCATCAGCTTGTAGACACCAACTAAAAGCCCTTTTGAGAGCTGAGCTTCTTACCGCTCAATGTCTTTGTCTGCCTGACCTGGCCCTTTCTCTCTGCCCATAGAAGTCTCAGATCTACACATGGGATGGCCGCCAGTCAGACCGCTGGGTCAAGCTGGACCTGAAGACAGAGCTACCCCGGGACACTCTGCTCTCTGTGGAGATTGTCCATGAGCTGAAAGGGGAGGTTAGAGGTGGTTCTGCTCACGTGTATGGCTCTGCCATCTGGGGAACAGCTGGGCCTGTCCCTTTGCCCCCATGCCCCCTGAGTTAACTGGGTTATGTGTATGTGGTGCCTGACAGGGCCCAGGGCCTGGCGAATGCTTTGTAATTGTTCCTCCTCCTCGAGTAGTTGCTCTAAGCCATGGCATATTCAGGTAGGAAGGACCACAGTCTCCTTATGTTTAGGAGATCTTGATCATCTCTGTGTAGCAAAGTCCCTGGTGAACCTGCTGCATATTTTTTAGCTGCTGATTGTTATTGACCAAGGATTCCTTGGGAAAGAAGCAACTTGTTATTTCCCACGAGCTTTGGGTATTACAGCCATACAGATAACTTTCAGAACAGTCAGTGGGAACAGTTGGCCAGAGTGGGAAGCCAGGTCCTGCTGGAGCACCATGGCGGCAGCCTCACTGGGTTTGAGATTCAAGGGGGCTCATCACCCATCACCTCAGGCCTCTGTCTGCTCAGAAGCATGGGCCAGCCTGGTGCTGAGAATCAACTGGGAGGGAGGTGCAAGAAATATCCTGTGTTTAGAGCCCTGCCCTTCCCCCGGCTATGCGTAGAATGGAGGCCAGCGTGCCACAGTGGGCAGAGTGAGCCCCAGGCCAATTCCTGGCAGGGTGGGCAGTATACTTGTCCTTCTAGGGGAAGGCCCAGCGGAAGATTAGTGCCATCCACATCCTCGATGTCCTTGTGCTGAATGGCAGCGACGTGCGGGAGCAGCACTTTAACCAACGGTCTGACCTGGGCCCTGGGGGAGGGAAGGTGGGCCGGGGTGGGCCAGGGCAGCTCTGTGGCGGCAGCCTCTGTGGCTTGGGCCTCACTCAGGCTTTCTCTGCTTAAGAGCATCCTTAGAGTTTCCCTCTTCTACCCACTAGCTGGTTCCAAGGGCAGGGTGAGAAATTGGTGTTGGCACTTCTGGTTACCAGGACTTGGGCCTTGATTTCATACATACTAGCACACTCCATTTTGCCTCAGCTGTTCAGATCAGAGGTGATGTTTAAGTTTGAGCAAGAGGGTGACCCTATGGGGAAGAGGGAGGGTCTTCTCCTCTGAAGAATGTGTTCTGTTCTTGGTGGTCCCACTTAAGTCAGTTTATCTGGATCCCACAACTCCCACAGAGGTACTTTTGTTCGTGGATAGATGCCTAATCAGTCATTTAAAAGGGGGGTACAAAAAGGAGAGACATCTTACACCACCATGGTGCTGAAGTCACTCCTAAGGTGGTTCATCTGAGTGGGTGTACTGTGGTATCTGTGGTTTGGGGTGAAGGAGCCGACGCACAGAATAAAGATGATGCTTGAAGTTCTGGTGGAGGTGACTGAACACAGCCGAAGTTACACTTCAGGAAAACCAACCAAGATGTATTGAAAGTAGAGGTCAGAATCCAGAGTCGGGGAGAGGGCGTTCATGATGACATCATTGGAGAAGGGCAAGGGTGGGCTTCCTGGGAGACATGAGTGCTGCCTCTTGGAGCAGTTTTGCTGCAGATTCAGGAGTGTACTCCCACTGGTGCCATGACAATGCCCTGGGGGTGCGGGTGCTGGTAAAGATACCCTTACTTGCCTCTGAGAGACTCTGTTTGGATTGCAGAATTCAGCTTGCTGAGAAATTTGTGAAAGCTGTTTCCAAGCCCAGTCGGCCTGACATGAATCCCATCAGGTGAGCAGATCATCTCTCCCCCCAAATCCTCCTCTCCCATTGCTTCTTTCTGGCCAGTGCCTGCCTCCCTGTCCTGTGAGGGGTGGGAGGGCTCAGTGAAGGAGACCAGGCCATGCTGGCATTAGAGATCAGACTGCCATTGAGTGATTTGCTTGGGGGTGCTGGGTAGGTGACTCCTTTGCCCCAGAGTATCCCCCATCCTGCCTGTCACAGTGGGCCAACCTCCACGGGAGAGGTTCGTTCCTCAGCGTTAAGGCATCCTCGTTTAAGACACACGTGCTTCTGAGAGCACTAACACACCTTGTGAGCCACACATTCATGCTTGAATATCATTAGCATATCAATCCCGGCCTTTTCATTTTTTTCAGGTAAGATAAGGGTGCTGAGGGAATGGGAGTTTTTGAACACGAAAAAGAAAAGGTTGGTTTGAGGTAATGGGATCCTTGGTGCATGGAAAGAAGGCCATGGTTTGTTGCCACGTTAGGTAATGTAAAAGTTCTAGGCCTTGAGAGGGTAACAGTCAGGGAGCAGACAGATGGAACAGACTTTTCCAGTCTGGGCTGAGGTCTGAGATTATTATCATTGGGGCTTCATGTGACTAGAGACTGAGGTACATTTTTTCAAAATGATTTTCATTATTCTTTTTAATACAGATTTACATAGGATTAAATCCAATAGTGGGAATGCACTTTTAGAAGTCTTCTGAAAGTCTAGAAGTAATTTCTTCTTGTGCTTTAAAATGTCCTGTCTGCCGGGTCCTGAGAAGCAGCTTCCAGGGGTCCTGCCTCTGTTGCTTGTGACGGTCTGGTTGCTTGGCTTCTGGGCACCTTACTCAGTAGCAGTTCCAAAGGCGTGTTCAGGGGCCCCCAGAGGTGGAGGGCTGGGCATCAAACAGGAGCCCTGCATCCTCGGTAGGGGGGCGCGGTCTCCTCACCCCTAATGGTAATAGGCCTATTAGGATGATTTGGAAGCAACTCTGTTACAGGAAGGCCTAAAATCCATGTAGACAGACCTGGGCAAGAGCCTGGCCCTTGGTGTTCTGGCCTCTAGAGATGGTGACGGTGACCCAGGGTGGGAGTGCTGACAGGGACATCTTCGTCTGCCAGACCTTCCTCTTTCTCCCACCTGACTTCCTGAACCATAGCTGCGCTCCCTGGGTGCCCTGGGGCAGGCTCCAGGGGGTACTTGGCAGCTCTGAAACCTAGGGCTTGTCTGTGGAGGATGGCAGTGACAGGCTAGGGGTCCTCATTCTTGGTGGGTTGGGTGGTGCAGGGCCTGAGGCAGAAGGTGAGGATAGGTACAGCCTCCTGCCTACCAGCTGCTGCCCAGACAAGTGTCCCACCAGGAATCCTTTGTCAGCTCTCTGTCTGTCTGTCACAGGGTGAAGGAGGTATACAGGCTGGAGGAGATGGAGAAGATTTTTGTCAGGTGAGTGACTCAGCCAGGGTAGCTCAGGATTTGAGAGGAGTTGGGGTGGGGGGCATGGCAGTGTCCAGGATTCGTTCTCTTTTTCTGTAGCGGTGGGTTAGGGGTGCGGTGGCGAGTTGCCCTGGTGGCTGCCTCTACCCAACCCCCCCACCTCCTTTGCCTGCGTGGCTCAGCTGCAGCCAAGGGCCCCCCAGCTGAGAGCTGATTCAGCACTGTCAGGAGGGGAGCAGGGCGGGTGTGCATCAGACAGAAATACAGGCTCGCTGATGCTGTAAGTTACGAGGGGTGTGTGCATCAGGCAGAAATACCAGCGGGCTTGTTGATGCTGTAACAGTTACCATTGTCCCTGCTAGGGGCAGAGCAGCAAGCTGCTTGAAACACTATAAATCCCAGCTCCTGGTGCTGACAGAGAGATTGAGCCTGGAGGGGTAGAGGGGGTGTAACTGCTTCCTCATAATCATAGCGGTGTGCAGGGTGCTCAGATCTGAGGGTCTCATCCTGGGTGTGCCCTTGTGGCCACTGGAGCTGGGCTGGGTCTCTGTGCTCCCGAATTAACTCTTTAGTAGCCACACTGATGCCATGGGTGGTGAACTGAAGATCCAGTGGCACTCGTGGTCTCAGAGCTTACCCTTACCGGTGTCACCCTGACACCCCGCAAACAGCAGCAACATAGCAGGGGCATGTGTCACTTCCCTGCCTCCATTGCTTAGTTGGGAGTTCAGAGCCTGAGTTCTTTCCAGCACCACACTCAAACTCACTTGCTGTGTGGCCTGGAGCAACTCAAGTCTCTGCCTCAGTTTCTCATGCTGAACTGAGGTAAAGTACTGTGGTTGGTTGGCTGATTTTGACATTAGCCAGAGACTAACGTTAGGGCTTTCTCTCTCTCTCTCTCTCTCTCTCTCTCTCTCTCTCACACACACACACACACACTCACGCTTCCTGTTTGCATGCCTACTCTGGAAAATCAAGGTTAGAAATGAAGATCATCAAGGGCTCCAGTGGCACACCAAAGCTCAGCTATACAGGGCGGGACGACCGGCACTTTGTGCCCACTGGCCTCTACATTGTCAGGACAGTGAATGGTGGGTGATGAGCCACTGTTCCCTAACCCCACTCCCTCAGCCAGGGCAACTGGCCCAGACCCTACTTGAGCTAGAGCTAAGGGCTCCCTGCTAAGGTGGGCATTTCTTTGAGGTGTATATTGAGGGGAACTGTGTTCCCTGAGCCTCTTCTGTTTTTCGGTGGATCCTGGGAGTTGGGCTGGGGCTGGAGAGAGGGGAGCCCAACTTGTATATGCACACGTGGTGTCCTCATGGCAGGAGAAGGGCCTTCACAGTGGGCAACAGCAGATCCAGAAAGTCAAGCTTGGCCATTCGTATCACCTGTAGAATCCTTTTTCCTTAGTGCCCTCTGGCTAACAGACTCCTACTCCCTCTGCCAGGGCCTAAGAGATGTTGCCCTGGTAGCAGGTTGGCGGGACTGGGGAGAGTTGTTGAGAATTATCTTAGTCGTCTTCCTGGAGCCCCTTTGGGCGGGTGATGAAGGCTGTGTCCTCACAGGCTCTTCTCCGCTGCTGGTTGTGGGGGAGGGGAGTGGAGGAACGGGCGTGAAGGAAGGCATGCCCTTCATTGGCCTGACCTGTCCCCCATGGGTATTTTGTGTCCTTTCTGGGCTTCTTCCCCCTTTCCTCCTGTCAGAGCCATGGACTATGGGATTCAGCAAAAGCTTCAAGAGGAAGTTCTTCTACAACAAGAAAACCAAGAACTCTACCTTTGACCTCCCTTCAGACGCCATTGCTCCATTTCAGTAAGTAGCCTTCTTCCAGGCCTGCCCCCTGCAGCCCCAGGTACTCCTGCTAGAATGCCAGCCAGACCTCTCGGGGCACACCCGGGTCCTGAGACTGACTGCTGCCCATGCAGGGGCTTCCCACGAGGGTATGGCTGTGATGGTTGGGGGTCCTGGGTGTGAAGGGCCCGACCCTGGCCGGGGCGTGGGCTAATGCTGAGGTCCACAGTCTTGCCTTTGGACCCAGTGTGTTGCCGGATTGTTGGTCATAGGTTTCGACAGCAGCCAGTAGCCCTGATGTGCCTGTAATTAGCCACTGACACCAGTGTGTCACCACACTAATACTGTTCTACTAGAGCAGCAGAGACAGTTAAACCAGGAATATCTATCAGTAATTAAAGGATCCAGTAGGATGCAATTAGCAGCAGCAGAAGCTGTGTGTTGAAAAAAGCTGGTTCTGGAAGGCAGGGAGCAGGGCCTACTAGGTACATTTGGCTGCCAGAGGGAAGACTCTCAATTGGAGTCATTAGTGAGACCTGCCCTCCCCCCCGCCCCCAGTGCACACACACACTCTCTTAAGAACACCCATCCCCGAAGTCACGGGTGCCAGGGTGGGTGGTGAGCTCTTGGTTCTGCTCCACGTGGGTACAGCCCTCTGACCTCCCTTCTCCTCCCCAGCATCTGCTACTACGGCCGGCTCTTCTGGGAGTGGGGGGATGGCATCCGTGTGCATGACTCCCAGAAGCCCCAGGACCCAGACAAGCTGTCCAAGGAGGACGTCCTCTCCTTCATCCAGACGCACAGCGCCTGAGGATGCCCACCCCTGCCGAATGCCCTGTCGTTCCCTGAGCCTGGCCGTGAGGTTGGTGGCCTCCTCTGAAGAGCTCAGTTGGGGCCTTCTGGGACACTTTTTGGAATTCCCTCCCCAGAGCCCTGCCTGGGAACTGTCTCCCCTGCCGGGACTCGGCCTGAAGGATGCAGCTCCTACAGCACGTTTGAGGTCAGGGCCCAGGGCGCATGGGGCCAGTGGAGGATGTGTCTGTCAGAGGGCAGCAGGGCTTCGGCTCTGCCATTCCTTCCTGTATCCTGTAGACTCACTTTTCTGAGTTCCACACAGTGCCCTGAGGGCGGCCATGCTCCTGCTTTGCCCAACTTTTTATTGGGCCGACCCTGAGAGGCAGGAGGCCCGCTGTTGTGAGCTGGCCAGGAGCAGCTGCTATATAAATCAAGGTTTTGTTTCTTTGAACTTGTTCTGTTTTGATGCCAAGTTGGAGATTTTCTTGTCTCCTCCCCCTACCCTCTCCTGGTCTTCCCTGGAGTTCTTCCCAGCCCAAACCTCTGACCGTCCCGCAGGCCGGGAAGGGAGGCATGTGGACCCCACATCTCTGACACCACGTCTGGATGCAGGTAGCATTGTCTGGTGGTAGGTGCAACTGCTTCCTGGGGTTGTAGAGCCTTCCTGGGCCTCCCCCCTTTTGATCCAAACCTCGGGCAGCTCTAGAAGGGGAGGAAGCAGCCTTGAAGACCTGCCATTTTCTATGCGCCAAACAGTAGTGGCCCCACTGTAACAGAGGTCCTGTTGGGTTGGGTCGCACCCAGTCCTCTGGCAATCATGGCACTCCCATTTGTCCCAGCTACCTTGCCACCCTCCCCCCTCCTCCATTTTTTCATCCCCAGCAGGAGGCACAGTTGCTTTTGTTTGTCCTTTTGTGGTCACTCCATTTCCTCTATCTTGGCGGGTGGAGGGGGAAGCTGGGCAGTAGCTTTGGGTGGGGGAGGGAACCTGTGGTTGTTTTTAATGGGAAATACCTCTCAGAGATGCTCCTGTGGGCTCCCTAGGGTCTCATCCCAGTGCTAGACTGGTTTCCATGGAGATAGAGGGCACTGAGGCTCCCCATGAGGTTGGAATTGACTCCACCTCAGGGGTCTCAGGCCAGCATCCCCCAGGCTGTCAGCAGCACCGCTGAGATGCTGTATTTCCACCCAATTCTGGGTATCAGTGTGTCTTGCAGAATCTTGGATCATTAAAGATAAACATATTTTTAATGCCTGTGTGGCTCTGTGCTGGGGCTTGTCCTTCGGTGCTTTGTGGTCTGGGACTTGCGTGAGTGAAACAGCTTGGGCTGGAGGTGAAGGGGAGGAAGCTGTACTCAAGAGGGGAGAAAAGAGGGTGGGTTTAATCAGAGCCTTGTCCAAGCTCATGGCTGCTGTTTGCTGCCAGAGGGGCCCAAGGAAGAGTCAAAATTGTGTGGCTCCTGTGAGAAGCAGGGATTAGAGAATGAATGAACCTACAGCCCAGCAGGGCAGTGTGACAATCCAGGATCAGTGTGTGTGACTAAAATAACAGAGGCGTCAGACCAATTAGTGCCACTAGACAGGGGGAAGAGAGAGAGGGAGAGATGGTTTTGCTGACCCTGCCAACCTCCCCTGCTCTGCGTCTGCACTGGAGGCTGTGCGCGTGCTGATGGCGCCTCTCCCTCTCTGCTCTAGGCTAGCGTTTCTCCACCAGTCCCATCACCGGTGCAGGTTCTCCCTTAGAGCCCGCTGCCTACACATTGCTTAGCTCCTTCACCTGGGCCCCCAGATTCCTTCCTTCATGTTTCACAGCCTTAGTTTAGCTCCCAGGGCAACTCCTTTCCTTGCTTTTACTTACTTGGTGTGATCTCGGCTCCCAAGCCCCTTCATCCTTTTGGTTGCCCTACTCAGCCTTACTCCAGCCTCCCACTCCCAGCCCTCCTGGCCCCTGTGCTGGGAGTAGAGGGCTGTGCTCAGGGGGTGGGGTGGGGGTGGAGGCGGGGGGATGGCTGTGTTTGTTTGCAGCTTCTGCAAACCCCACCTGATTTACTGGCCACTCACCGTTAAGTCTGTGTGGTCATTATCGTGGCTCCGGCTGCCCACTGGCTCTGCCACACCTCGCCAGACTTGCAGCCTCTTGAAGATGGATTAACTCCGCACTCCCGTGGGACCACCACACGACCACCTCAAGTCCCCAAGTTGCCCTTTGCTGCACAGGCTGCATTTTTTCTGTCATAATCACAGGCAGTGGCACCAACTGGAGGGCAAGACAGGGTTTGGTGGGGGGTGGCGGACAAGTGGTGCAAGGTCTGCCTCTCAGCCCCAGCAGTGCCCAAGTCCTCGAGATGGCGCCCACCATGGTTTGCCTTAGGAAGCACTTTGCTAACGCCTTACTCCCCACCTAAGCTGGGGGCTTACCTTCAGGCCCCTCTCCTCCCTTGCATCCTGAATGCCACCCCACTGCCCCCAGCTGCCACCAGATCATGACATTTACTCAGCACACAGAAGCAGCCAGGGTGGTCTTTATTGCCTTTCCCTTGGGCTAAGCCAACACAAAGTCCTTCTGGAGACTCAAGCCCCACAGCAGGAACGGGAGGCGAGAGGGGCTGGGCCGACCGGAAGCCGTGCTCCGATGTCTGGGTCAGGCAGAAATGGCCCTTGTACCTTGGTCCTCTTGAGGCTTGACGGGCCTGCTTGGCCGTGACCACGGAGCTGAGGGGAAGCCTGTGCTGACTGGAGAAATCTCGGGCTCACAGGGTCCAGTAGGCGTAAGAAATGGCCCTTGTACCTTGGTCCTCTTGAGGTTTCAAGGGCCTGCTTGGCCGTGACCATGGAGCTGAGGGGAAGCCTGTGCTGACTGGAGAAATCTCAGGCTCACAGGGTCCAGTAGGCGTAGATAAGCGTCAGAAGGAGGAAGATGGCCACAGACAGCAGCATGTTCTTCCGGTTCTCCTGCCGAAGCAACTCCAGCTCCTTCTCTGGGAGGAAAAAGGGTGGTGGACAGGTGGTCTGGGCCCATCTGCCACTCTCATCTGCCTCCGCCTATCCCACCAATGGGTACACACACTGCTGAGCACAGAGGTTTTCCCTCCCAGCTGCCTCCTTATCCATAAAAATGACTGTCCTCGATCTGCCCAGATGTGGCTACAGATCCTGGCCCAAAAAAGCCCCAACCCCCAATGCCGCTCAACCATTTCTTTCCAAATGTAGTCGAAGATGGAATATGTGAGGGAGTCACAAAAAAGGCCACACCTAAAAGCCAAGCTAGGTGGTGGCATGGCCTCACCAGGTGAGCCCTCTGGCCCATCACTGGGTGCTCCCATGGTGCTCCTCCTTCCAGGGTGTCTCACCTGGTTAATTAGAGACTGAAGGCAGCTGGGACCTCCTTGGGCCTGACACTGGAGTAGGGACAGGGTGGGCCCACACCACCAGTGCTTCTAGTCCTGCCCTGCTGGATGCCCAGCTCAGCAGGAACGACGTATGCTAAGACGAGGTAGTTTGTGCCCACAAAGCAGTCAGGCTGCCTCTTAGAGGAAGCCAGCCCTGCTATTCTACAGCCACACTGTATCCATTCATATGATACACAGGTGGTTGGTATTCTGTGAGGGCTGACGTGAGTGGTAAATGCTACAATTTTGTGTGAAAATTGCTAGGTTCGAGAGGGAACTGATGTCCCATCCCTCCCTGTGTGAGGAAGCAGGGAGATACCTGCAAACCAGCTCTGGGCAGGCCAGACGGGACCCGGGTAGGGGTATGTGACAGGCACCGTGCTCACAGTGTTGATTCAACTTGGTTCCTACAGGAGACTCCCTGCCATATGGACTATTCTAGGGCTGATTCTTGGCCAGGCCTGGCCCCTCAGGGTGAATAGAACAGACAAGCCTGAGGAGCCTCTGCAGACCCATTTCCTCCAGGGCTGCTGGGGGCAGCGCCCAGCAGCCACCCTCTAGCTCCGTGCCCTGTCTGGGCTCTACCTGGCTCTGCACCCAGCACCCAGAAGGTGGCAGCATTGCTCCACTCACAGTAGCCCTTCACAGCACCCAAGTGGGAGGTTCATCCTCCACCCTGGACCCCAAAGACCCTATTCCCATCACTCCATTGCAGGGTTTTCCCGGGAGAGAGTGGAGGTCTGGGAGGAGGGGGCAGGGAGGACAGACCTCCCAAGTCAGGGTGGATGTGAGGATCTCTTCACCTGGCCACAGCCATACCCCTTCATCCCACAGGAGAAGAACAGACCCACAGGACTCTCCATCTCCCTCGGAACAAAGGAACAAACTTGCTCTTCCAGGATGCTGGGCCTTCAGTTGGTTCCTGCAACCCCCTGGGGGCTGGCTCTCTCCCAAAGAATGCCCTTGACCCCCATCACTTTGTGGGCTCCCTGGGCTGTCTGACCCTTCCTGATCCTAGGACGCAGGGGTGGGGCTGGTAATGGCAGGGAGCTTTCTTACCATAGTTGGAGGCTTTGTTCATCAGGCTGCTTTTCTCCATCTCCAGAGAACTCCTGTGAGGGGGAAGGGGTCAAAATGGCTCAGGCCCTTTTTCTTTTTCCCACCTGAGGGACAGCTGGCACACCAGAGCAAGGGAGACAAGAGGAACATGGGCTCAAGTCTCTGGTGGCAGGGGGATGGGAGGGGTGGCAATTGAGGGCTGGGGCCCGGGGACAGGAAGAACTGAGGGATGTCGGGAGGAGCGTTACCTGGCCTCTGAGCTCAGCTCTGCCCCACAGAGCCTGGAGTTCACAGCCTCCAGGTCTCTCCAGCATCGTGACAGCTTCTTCTCCAGCCCATCCAACTGAAAGACACAGCACACCCAGCAGGTAGAGATGGGTGGCCAGAGCCTTTCAATTTTCAAGACAGCTGGGATCCTGGGAGCGGGAGGAGGGAGCCTCTAGGAGTCTTTGAACTAGCAACTATGTTTTGCTGTCCTCTACCTCCACGTGGTGCAGGCTGAGCCCACCTAGAAACAGCTTTGAGTGTTGCTCAGGGTCTCCAAGCTGCCCTGACCCACTGGACCAAGCATGGGTTGGGGCAGATAGGAGCAGCCCCCCCCAGTCAGCTGTCTTCCCAGCACAGGCCCCAGTTGGGCCCCACGGCAGGAGCAACCAGAGCCCTGAATGTGGCAGGCACAGGCGGCTCCTAGAATGAAACGAGACGATGCAGGAAGCCTCTGCCTTTCCAAAGCATTCCACGCGTGATTAGACATCTAGGGGCCAAAAAGCAGAGGCATGTTTTCTTGTTGGTACACTTCATCTTAAAGTAACCTAAGCTGTAATAATATACATTTTTCCATGAGATTCAATAAAAGTTACTGACAGTACAGCTCAAAAACACTTCTGTTAGTTTCTGACTTGGTTCTTGTGCAAAAGCATTGACCATCATCAAGATAGCTGTAACTTGGGGGGGCAAAATAGCTAAGCTCCTGAAAGGCTGCATGCCAAAGGTACCAGTTCTC